AATAACTGGAGGAAGTACCATTATGTTGAACACATTGCCTCCGGTCTGAAAGATAGTTAGAGAACCAACCAATGGTGTGATCTGAGAAACCGATTTCTGAGAGTTTATGACACAAGATGTTATTATCCACAGTGTCAAAAGCTTTAGACAGGTCTAAGAAAAGTGCAGCACAATAATCCTTAGCATCCAGTGCTTCAACAACGTCATTAAGAACCTTCAGTGAAGCAGTGATTGTGCTGTGTTGTTTCCTGAAACCAGATTGATGTGGAGGTAAGATGTTAAATGAGTCCAGGTAATTTTTGATTTGAGAGTTTATCAGTTTTTCTAGAACCTTGGCTAAAATGCAGAGTTTAGAGATTGGTCGATAGTTGTTCAGTGAGGTGGGGTCACCTCCCTTCAGCAAAGGAAGAACAAAGGCTGTTTTCCAAGTGTCTGGGATGGAGTTTTGTCTTATGGAGAGATTGAAGATGTGGGTCACAGGGACTGTGATGATATGAGCAGCCAGCCTTAAGAAATAAGGTGGAAGTTCATCTGGACCTGCAGATTTTTTAGGATCAAGATCTATTAACAGTTTATTGACCTCACTGACTGAGAATGGAGAAAAAGAGAAGGTGTGATTAACTGAGGATTGACTTGTAGGAGGGATTTGATTTGTAGAAGTTTGGTTATTAAGTGAAGTGGCTGATTTTCCACTAGTAACTGTGTCAAAAAAAGAACTAGAAGCAACAAAATGTTTGTTGAAACAGTTCAGGATCTCGTTATGGTTTCGGTTCAGGTGCCCTCTTTAAAGATAATTTGTAATTGACCACCTTAGCTATGAAACATGTATAGCCTGATATCTAAAATAGGTTTTCTTATACGAAACAGCAAACCACACCCCCTTTCTATTATATTATTTTTTCCCCCGGTTTCTGATCTTATTCCTTTTTGGGGGGGCGGGGAGACTCATATATGAGAACTCCAATGCTGAAGAAAACTAAAGCAAACACTCATCCATCTTTATGCAAATCATGCTTTCAGAGCTTAAATATGCCTCCTATTTGTCTTTTTTTGTTGATATTGCCAAAAAAAAAAAGGTCACTAATTTGGTCCCCATCACACATTTCTGACTGCATTCAGTTTTTATAATTTAGAAGTCTGGGTCAATTTCAAAAGCACATTTTCTTTTGAAAAAAATGTCCATATTTATGCAGTATACTTACTTTCATCTATGTACAATCAACAGTCTCAGCTCAGTTCTCACCAAGCAGTCCTGCCTCTTTCATCTATCCATTTGATGATCCTCACATTGATTATTTCAACTCTGTTGCTCCTGGTTTACCCCACCAGTCCATTCTTCTGGACCAGAACACTACCCACCAGCACGTCTTCTACTCCTAAACTCCTGCTGTAGCTTCTTGGCCATGACTTCACACATTTTAACATTCTTCTCCTCACTTTCTGAACTCTCCAATCTGTTCTTCCAAGAGCTTTGCTCCCTCTGGGATTCAAACCCTTCAGCTGTACTACACCTCAACTCTAGTACTTTCTCTTTCAATAGACATTTCCTGCCTTTCCTCGCGATTCATCCTGTCAGAAAAGAACAAGGGGACAGCAAACCTCTGAATGGTTTGATTGGTATAAAATTATCTATAGTATGACAACTGAAATAAGCAACTCTGACACTATTCAAGCAGTGATTGATGGTCCAAACTCTAAAACCATTTTTCAAATCCTCAGCTCAGCTGGACTTGTGGGAAAATTCAGTTCAATTCAATTCAAAAATACTTTAATCCCAAAGGGAAATTATGTGTTGTCATAGCTCATCATCCTGTTATCATTCAAGAGTTGTTAGTTGCCAATAGCTGTGGACGGGAAGGGTCTACTGCAGCAAATCTGAAGACTCTGGCCGCAGATACCGATTCATCAACCCAAATCCACCTTGCTGTCAGATCCAGCGAGTCTCTCGGTCCTCCTGGGCAGCAGGCCTGCTCGAATGCCAGGCAGAATTGCTCCCTGAGCAATGGTCACTCCTCCCAGCAGTCTACCGAGCTCCTCGTCACCACGGACAGACAGCCAAAAGTGCTGGGGAATGATCCCAGTCCTCTCACCATCACGAGCCAAGCCTCCCACCAGCTCCAGGATCTTGGCGGCCAGGCAGTCAAGCACAGCTGCCAGGTTGACGAAAATTCGTCCACAGCATCTCCTTTTCAATTAAATTGTGATATGGGGCTGTAGTTGAGGTATCTGAGCTTTATAAATTTAGTTTGACAGATATTTTTCTCATATTTTAAAAAGATTTGAACAGTAAGGAATAAGATCACATTTAAACGCAAGTTAAATATGTAGTACTTTAATAAGTTCAATTCTAATTTGAATGGAAATTTCCATCTTGAAATATTGAGATTCGTTTAGGTTTCATCAAACTATGAAGCTTCTAAAAAGGTTTTGCTGTAAGATGTATTTTTACATGTTGGGAGGATATCTTTCTTATAAATGGATCGTCATACCTAACCAGTCACTGAACAGTGCATATATGTTGCAATTTATTGTTAATGACTGTACCAACACTTCAGGGTTTGGATTGTTTGGATCAAGAGACACATGCAGCAGCAGTGATGTTGCCCAACTCTTCATCCAGAACTGATGCTGTTTATTCACACAACACACCTACCAAAAACTGAAACGCTTTTCATGTGCTAATGGAACGCAACCAAAAGAGTGGGGTGTTTTTAAAGTCCAAGATTTCATGCTTTACTCATGAGGCGTGTATACTGCAACACCACAGCACGGGTGGAATCCGCTGACCTGAAACACACACACAGATACTGGCGCTGAGATTAGTTAAAAATAACAGATACTGATTTATAGCTCCGAGAAAAAAAAGGGTTTGGATGCTTGTTTGTATTTTTTTTTTTTTTCTGCAAGTTTGCTCATTCATGTTTGAACATCATGGGGTTAACTCCTCAAACCTTGTTAAAAGTTTGAGCAGGCATGCAGGCGAAGTGCAAGAGATTGGTATGCGAGACGCCATGACAGCCTCTGGGATAGAAAGGGAAGGGTAACCTGCCCGGTCTCGGTTCGTCACTCTGCTCCATCTCTCCAAACACACTCTGCCTCCAGATTATCTCATCTTTCCATCTATCAGTCATTCCTGTTTTCAGCAGGTTATCTTACAGGGTCTGTTGCTATGGTAACTGCTCTTGCTTTTGGATGGAGCCCAGGATTGTAAAATAATAAAAAAATACAAGACGAACTGGGTCTTTTCCCTTCAAAGGCTAAGATTTAATAGAGGGCTCTCTGGCAAGGTTAAAATATTTGCGCTCCACGATGCCAAGTGATCGACCCAGTGGAGTATCCAGTGAAATCTTAGTCTGGCTTTGTGTACAGTTTTAAAAGGGAGTAAATGCACTTTAACAGGGCTTCCAAAGAGGAGAAAGAACAACACTAGTTCAATGGGAGTGGAGAAAAACATATGAGGCAGTAAGGGGAAAATACAGAACGAAGAGGCCATTTAAAAGGAGTCAAAGACAGCAATGACACAGACTCAAGAGAAACAAGATGCAGCAGCCAAGAACATGGAAGTTGTTTTTATCAAGTTCATTTTGTCGTCTGGTTCTTATCCTCAGTCCAAAATACACTATTACATCACACTGAGCATGGGAAACAAACCCAGACCAACATAAAGAGCCTCTTAGTGTCCTGCTTATCTCTCTTGAATAAAGCTGCAAACATTTTGATCATTTGTGAAGTAGCATTCTAACACTACACTTTACCAAAAAAAGCCATTCAATAGACAAAAAGTGGTGTTTAAAAATTGCCACTAGTCTATAAACAATAATAGGGACAGCATATTAATTACAATCAATAAAAAATTGTGAATTAATGGTTGCTGTAGGTTTTGCGGGAATCTTGACAATACAGTAGCCTATTTTTTATGGTTACTAAATTCATTGTGATACATATTTACTTCAAAACTAGAGAATAAATTAGCTCAACATGAAACCTCAGGGACCTCAAACCAAAACTATCATTTCTTAGTCACATCAATTGTCTTTTTTGGAGAGAATCAAAGGGAAGTCATGTCACAGACAACTTTGAAGCCAAATTAATGACCAAGGTTGGTGGAAATTAAGAGGCAATGCTGAAAGGAACAAAAATAAAAGCACTTTTTTTTAATAGAAACCACAAACATGTTTTATTCACAAAAATGGTGGTGTCATACAGATAAAACTGAGGGAAATAAACAACTTTAAGGATTCCCTGGCAGTCTACAAGCATCTTGTACTGTCTACCACTGGCACCATCTCTTCTCTTCATGGTTTTCTCCTAAATTAAAGCTCTGACATTTTCTTCATGTTACAATTACATAAATTAAACAAAAAAATAAAACAAGAGTGTGAGGAAATATGAAAACAAGTTGAACAAAGGATTCAAAGCTGGGACACAGTATGGATTGAATCATAATGACTGACGCACATTTTAACTTAATACAAACAAGATTACTTGTTCTTATCTAAATCCACTTTCCACTCATTGTGCACTGTGACGGAAATGATGAGGAAGAGAACAGGGCTGGTAATCTGAGGTTTTACAGACCCTTACTGGAGTGTCTGTGTTAGTCAATGAGCCTCAATCCAAATGTCATTTGTGCATCATTCTCCAAAGCTGATGTGAACAAGCATCTGAGCAGATTAAGTGGTAGCTAGATGATGTGCGCAACCAGAAACATTTATTCCATAAACTGGCTCGTCTTTCCAGTAATATAAGCACCACAGCTGATTCTGGAGCATCACTTTCTTCTGTAAGCACTGCGCCATTGTGAAACAGCATTTACTGGTTGACATTAAATTGAGCGGTTTGCAAAAGAAAGCAGAGAAGAACACCTCTTCCCTTTGTTTCATTCATGACCTAAAGTGATTTTCTAACTCGACGGCTTGCTCGTCAGACTGATTCCACTGAGACTCGTCAGGTCATCCTACATGGCAAGAGTTCAGATCTGTGTTGCATCCAGAGGCCTCTCAGGTAGCCACAGAGGAGACAATCTGGACAACCTCGCCATTGTCTCCATGGATGGCACCATGGATAGCTTCTTTCACCTCCATCTCGGCCTGCAGGGCTGGAGTCAGTTCAGCAGCCTATGAAACAAAAATAGGAAAGAGAAAACTTTATGGCTTGGAATACACAGAAATCTTACATGTGAAGCCTTCACTATTTAATGTTGCTGCCTGCTTGAACTCTATTAGACCTGAGTAACAATGACCTTTAGTTAAACGTAAAGTTCAACAGTATTCAAAACAGTTTCGAAAATATTAGCAGTGAAAATAAAACTCATCTAATCAAATCTCTGTTTTTAGTGCTCCCCCAAAAGCTTCTGAAAAACCAAGTCTATGTCAAGCAGCAAACTCCAGTTATTCAGAAATTCTACATTTGCTTTTGGCTCCAGTTTACATAGAAACCATTTTTGTTCTATCATCTCAAACCATCATCTCTATATGTATTTAAAAGCAATCAAAGGTGATTGGATGAGTTAGGTATAAACTTTCTTTCTAAAAGTATTGTGGGATAACAGAGACAGCATTGTTTGTACTGCCGTGAACTGCTGATGTTGTGGAATGGGTCAAAATTGTTGATGTTCTACCTAAAAAGGACAACAAATGTAACCTCGTGCTGAACGTCTTCACTCCCATGAATGGGGCCTCATACTGAATGAGGGCGACCTGAACATATTAGACACAAAAGTCATTTTTAATAAATGCTTTGTTTTGTTTTTTAACCAAAGAGGTTTTACTATCCTTCATAAATTGTAATTATTTATCCGAATACCAACTAGTATCAGAGAGACAATGTGATGTTTCTAAACATGAAACAAAACTAAATACAGTAGTCCCTCAATACTTCACGGTTCGACTTTCACAAACTCACTCTTTCATGGGTTTTTAACTTAAGATTGTACACAACACACAATTGGCTGATTGATGGACGTCAACCAACCAGAGCATTGTGCTGAGGGGCAGACTAGTCATCGGGAGCGCCGGGACATTCCCCGGTGGCCTGGCCCGCTCAGTGATCGCAGAGGGGCCCCCTCCTTTCTTTTTCTGAGGCTGTTTCAGAGCAGATAAACAACAGGTTGTGTGCCCGCCTGTTGTCTGTCTCTGTTCTGCTGTGACAGACAGCCTCAGAAAGAGAAAGGAGGGGCAGGGGTGGGGTCTGTCTTTTCACTGCTGCTCAGGAAGCTTCAGAGAGGCAGATACCTGAGTGAGTGGCATGGATTGTTTATTTAATCAAGCGCGACCCAAACCAAGCCTTTAGTCCAGCCCCTCGGCAATCACTGAGCAGGCCAGGCCACCGGGAAATGTCCCGGTGCTCCTGATGGCCAGTCCGCTCCAGTAACTGGCTTAGTAACCACAGCATCAGTCTGTCTGCTCTCTTTTGCTGTGCTCTTTTAGAGTGTTTAGAACACTGCAAGAGCGTGGGAAAGGTTTATAAAGCCTTTATATATATATAAATACTTAAATCAATACAACGTCCCTACTTTGCAGATTTTCACCTATCACGGGGGTGTCTGGAACATAACTCCTGCGATAAGTGAGGGACTACTTAACACTAATACATAACAGTATTGATGAGACAGGAATATAAACTGAAGGGGTGTTTTCTGTTTAAAATGGTAAGAAAACCTAACCTGTCTCTGTATATTATTATTATTATTATTAAATATACTCCTGTGGTATTATGATCATTTAGTCCTCTGTTTAGGATGGCCACTTCAATACAGTATCCTGTTTATGTGACAAAGCTAAAATAAATCTTTATCCTTAAAAAAGCTTAGACAAGTTTGGGAGGTTCCTATAAAGTAACTAAACACTAAAATTTGTATTTAGTTTATTAGAATGGATCTGTATAAGAATCCACACTGACAAATATCATTGCACTTGAAATGCTACATAAATCTAGAAATTATTGTCAGCAACACAAACAAGAAAGGTCGAGACAGAAATAATGAAAGACAAATATTTCACAAGAGGTCGCATTTTTCCAAGCAAGGGTTGAGTTGTTACTTGTGATTTTGTGCAAAACTGCATCAAAGATTCAACAAATTAATTAATAAATTATTAATTAAAATAAAATCACAACACAGTAAAACAAAGATGTTTTCATCAAATGGCAATGACACCACAAAAGGTTAAGAACATGTGTGGAAATCTGAATGCCTAAAGGTCACAGCTGGAAACCATGGTTGGATGCAAAGGACCTTTGAGCCGTCAGGCAGCATTCCATGAAAAACCTTTTTGAGCTCAAGAGCACTTTGACATCCACTGTCACCCAACACCGTTCACTGCTTTACAAAGAAAAAATAACTTGTATTAAGAAAAGAACAAGACAATAAATAATGGAACACAAACTCGGAGTTCTCAGGGAATGAGCTCATCTCAGATGGACATGAAGATGGTGGACAGATGTTCTGTGGTCTGATGAGTTCACATTTAAGCTTCCTTTTGGGAAACATGGGCAGGGTTGTCTATGTGCTGAAATTAAGAAACACTATTTAGATGATCACAAGCAAAACGTAGTGAGCATGGGTTATTAGTATATACAATTATGAAAAAAATGAAGTCATCATTTGTTACATGTAAGGCAAAATGAATGAGGACATGAAAAATAAACTTCTGCTCCTAAAATAAGGTAAACAGAACCTTAAATGAACAACTCATGGCATTCTAGATTGTGTAATTATTTAACTATAAAACTGAGATGCAGTCTATGACACTGTTGAGCAGCAGCGCCTGATTGGACAATAAATCCACTCGCATAACTTCAGAAATGATTATAATCAATTTCAAAGTGTAATTAAAAGCATGGCTGATAAAAAAACAGGTGTAAATAAGCCAATACCTGTTTATTTTATTTTATTTATTATTATTATTGTGCTGCAACAACGAAAAAAGTAGTTTCCTGTGAAGGAACAAAACCATGCAACAAAGTAAAGTCAGGTGAGTTGGATGGTTTCTTTTTTTTTGTTGTTGAGACGTTTCTCCCTTCATCCAAAGGACTTCATCAGTCCGAGGAGCCACAGCAAACTCAGTCCCATAAGCAGCAAACCCACATAGGGGACCAACCAGTTTGCTGGTGATAAGATGGTTTCTGGGGCCCGTCCTCTCCCCCGTCTACTCCTCTGAGTCAGCCATAGCCAAGGTGGTTCAAAACATCAAAGTTCATGCTCAATAATCCAGGTAAAAAAAATCCAACAAAGTTCAGTCAGGTAATTTGGACGGTGCCTTTATTTTTGTTGTTGTTGAGACGTTTCGTACTTCATCCGAAGGACTTCATCAGTCCGAGGAGCTACAACAAACTTTGTTGGATTTTCACAGTTGGATTATTGAGCAAGAACTTCTCTGACAATGGCTGCCTGAGTGAAGTCGACAGGGGAGAGGGCGGGTCCCAGAAAGCATCTTATCACCAGCAAATTGATTGGTCCACTATGTGGGTGTGCTGCTTGTGGGACTGAGTGTGTTTGTGACTCCTTGGACTGATGAAGTCCTTTGGATGGAGGACGAAACGTCACAACAACAAAAAAGAAACCATCCATATGACCTGACTGAACTTTGTCGGATTTTCTACCTGGATTATTGAGTATGAACTTTGATGTTTTGAACTACTTTGGCTATGGCTGCCACAGAGGAGTCGACAGGGGAGAGGGCGGGCCCCAGAAACCCTCTTATCACAATTAAACTGGCTGGTCCACTATGCGGCTTTGCTGCTTGTGGGACTCAGTTTGTTGTGACTCCTCGAACTGATGAAGTCCTTTGGATGTAGGACAAAACATCTCGAGAAAAAAAAAAAAAAACATCCAGATGACCTGACTGAACTTTTTGGATTTTCCACCTGAATTATTGAGCATGAACTTTGATGATCAAAACCATGGCCCAGTCTTTGCCTCATCCAGAAGTGGGAGATAATCAAAGAGAATGAACTAAAAACAGAAGGACCAGAGAAATGACTAGAAAGATCAGAGAAAAAAAAAAAAGTCTGAGAAAAAAAAAAAAAAAAAAAGAGATTAGACTGAAAAAAATGAGAGGAAGCAAAGTGACAGGTTGAGAGACACTTCAAAAGATTCAAGGCATTTTTGTTTTAATACCTTTTGACCATTTTAATGCTTGGTGTCAGAAAGAGCGAGTTAGTGAGTGGATATAAAATAAAGACCCTTAAGAGACGAGAGGTTCATGACTCAGTCCTGGATGTTGACCACAGAGTGTGACTCACTCCTTCCTTGAACGCACGCCAAAGGTTTCCTCAAAGACACCTGCAGCATTTAATCCTCTGTCCAGCCCAGCATGTTGTCACTACGCAACAGCTTTGACTTGAGCCCAGCTGCGCCAAGGCAGGACGCGAAACCTAACTTATGAGCCTGAAACACGCTGCGAGAAAAGGCTCTATAGGAGCCAAGCCATGTGCTGTTTATTTTAGTAGGTAACTTAACATGAAGGGACTGAAACGTTTGCATCCACAAGGACTGAAATTTTATATCCAAGTTGTTTGGTTTGGTTAAAAAGGAGTCATCTGCATTTATCTGTTTGGTCCAGTTCATCTGGAGTAACTGTCAATCACCATCTGCTATGATAATATTTCAGTGTATTGGTTTTCCACAAATTTGAAACCCATCTTTATATAACTGGATGAACTGTACTGTTGTTTTGTTCTTTTTCTTCCAGACCTTCATGTAAAAAAATAACTTACATTATAAGCGTATAAACCGAGTGCCAACATTTAGAACGTCACTAGCTTGCATCAACGGCCCTTGGAATGCAAAACAGTCCCTGTGTTAGCTCCTAGCTTATCGTTGTAGTAGAAACAATTAAATAAAAAGAAAGGAAAACGTGGAGACAAATAAATACATCAGACAGAGTAATTTTTCAGTAAGCCGTATAAATACTACCACATGTCTGGAAACTGATGAGAGTCTTTCTGTTGATTTAACATTACTCAAAAGGATGAACTAAAGAGCAGCACTAGCCTTTTTCTCAACTTTGACCATCAATAAAAAAAAACTAGGACATAAAAGCACAACTGTAATAACAACACTGTACCATGCAGGACAGGAGATTTACTTTTAAACATTTTACACAACATGCTTTTGTTGTTTGTTTTATTATTTATGAAAGAATATCAAATTAAGTGTATAACGTATTTTATAACACCTTTTATAATTTTGGATCTTATTCCTGTAAGATTATCTCATTTAATCAATAAATACTTTGATAACAAGTGTTATGTTTCTGTCAACAGGCCCATCCACATGGCCTTACTAAACCTCCAACTACACTGAACAGCACTAATGAATGATCAAACCATTGCTGCAGACATCTGAGGACTATAACAGGTTAAAAAAAGGCCTTTTAAAACCTAAATGTTCATTCAAACAAATCAACTGTGTAAACAAACAATTTGATTGCGCCAAACAGCATGGAGCACAGACCTTGGACGTGCAGTGATGGTCTTTGTGCACATTTATAAACACACAATTAGAAATCATTTGAGGGTTATCAGCTTGTGTGATCCACACCCAAAAAACACGATCAATTTCCCCCGTCTTCCCGTTTTCACAGGCTAGAAACCAATTACCTAGCCAACAGTGGACAACAAAAGGACAAGAAAACAGGATCATATGGAGTGGGTGTAAGAAGCCTTACAGGGAAATTCCAAAATCTGCAGCATGGCTGGTTAGCACATTTGTTGTCTACTTGTCTCAAAGGGAGATGAATATGATCAGTCACATGGCAAAGATCCTTATTGGACTGGGGTGGCATTTCAAATGGGCATAAATCATCTGAAGCATTTAGCTTTGTTTCTGTTATAACAAAACAACAAACACTTGTTTAAGAACTTAAAGGTACCCATTACAACATACTGTTAAAGGAAAGAAGCAGCAGGGAGGAAATTAAATGTTGCATTTGACATATTTATGAAAAACAAAAGAAGAAGAATGGGAGAGAGCTGTTGTTTTAAATCCCTTGCAGAGTTTAAATGACCACTTCAAAGCCCAGCCTGCCATGTGCCTGCACACCACCCTGATTCAACACGTAGCTGTTGCTCAACATGGGGTTTTAGGCATTTTACTAACTACTACTTTGTCCCGGTATTATTCCATAAAAGATGTTTAATTACTGCCTGTCAACGTGCCATAAAGACAGAAATTCAAAGGTTTTTTTTTTAAGACAAAAGCACTGCAGGAAACTTGTAGCAGTAACTATTTTAGCTGCATTAATAAAATTACAGTTAACTTTTTATCTCAACAGCAGAGTAACTGCATCAAAAATTACAAGATGCATATTGTTGCTTTGAGATTGAGCAAAACTTGAAAGCATAAGAAAAAAAAACTATAGACTACTCTTTTTATCTTATCTAATCACTTTTTAAAGTGAATGTTTACACAAAGAGAAAAAAAAGACAATTTTGTATCTGCATGTACAATATTTAGAAGGGCATATATTGTGCTTGTGTCATTGACACAAACCATGAAGCTGTAAAACACTTTCCTACAGAAGTGCAAAGATGAAAAACAGTAAATTGTTTCAGCGTTTATACAAAACGGATTCATACGATAGTTAAAATCAGTTTAGTCAAATCTCATTTGGATGTTCATGCCTTTTAGCTCAAGGTAATGTAATGTGTTGTTATTGTGTCTGTTTGAAAGAACAATGTACTTACAATCAGCTGCAATGATAATAACATTAGAAGTAAAATGTCTACACATAAACTCATCTGTTGCCATTGATCTGTTGTTTCATCTTTGGCACAGTTTAAGTCTCCCTGCTACAATCAGCATACACATACAATAGGGCCTAAACCAGGGCTATTCAACTGGTGGCCCACGGGCCAGAAGTGGCCCGTGGGTGACTTCTGTTCATTACATTTACGATTCAATGCAATAAAACACCCAAATTTAAAAGGTAAGAGATCATTGTAATACTTGGTTTATTTACATAATGACTTTAACTGCTGGATGTCCGGCCCCTGAACAGCTGGCTTTCAGAAACTGTGGCCACTGAGCAGTTTTGTTGAATACAGCAGTCCCTCACTACTTCGCCATTCAACTTCATGGACTCTTTCGCAGTTTGTGGACATAAAGTACATATAATTGTACAACAAAAAAATTTGTACAGAACACACAATATTTAACTTTAATATTACTCACGTGACTGGGACGGTACTGGATATAGTACTGTACAGTAAAAAGTTAACGAAAAATAAAATACTTCGGACAGGCGTCACCATTTTGTAGTTTTCTTTCAGTTAGCCTCCACTGTATTCACACTCATAACAACCACATTTCCCAGAAGGCAACAGGGCCTCACCCAGAAGCCCCGTTTCTTTCTGCTGAACTAGAGGGAAAGTTTTGATCGGATCAGAGTGGATGCAGAGAAGCTGCATGGAATCCACTGAAATGGACCAGAACCAGAGCAGAACCAGAATTCCAGGTCCATTTGAAGCTCACCGGCATGTTTTTCATGTCTTTCAACCGGCCGACAAGGACCTCCGAGCGGGGACACACTGGTAAATAAAATTTAGTAGCTACATATAAATATGTTGTTAAAATTAGTAGGTTTAAGAGTTTAGAACATTCATTGTGGGCTTCATTGCTGCAGGGTACGTCTGCAGAAGGTAAGTGAAATGTAGTAGCTACATACTGTATACAGTACTGTATATATGTTATTAAAATGACGTGGGTTTAAGAGTTTAGAACATTGCAAGAGTGTGGGAAGGGTTTCTAAAACCTT